TTTGCCACTCCGGGTGAAGGTCATCCAGAAAATGAGGGAGGAGACGTCCAGCGGAGGACTTTTGGCCAACGACTGCCTGGTGCACTACTCGGTCAACTCGCTGCCTTTCGGGGGCGTTGGTAAGCGCACACGCACACCCGCCCCGTGATCAGATGCGACCTTTGGACCGCCCGACTATTTCATCATTTCGCCAACGAGGGTCAAACCTCGGCGCTTCAAGCCGCACCCCCCGCGCAGCCTCCGTCAAGAGTTTCAGGTCTTGAAACCTCAGAACTTTGTCCTTTGCGGCATCGCTCCTTCAAACCTTCAGACGCGCCGCGTTACGTTTTGACAGGCGGACGGTAGTTCCTTCAGAGGGACTTCTTCCATCAACTCTGCACACCTCCGGTTTTCCTTCCGGTCACGAGTCCTTCCGACCGAGGCCTCCTTTCTTCAGTCCGCGAGCCCGGTCCAGTCCTTTCCACCTTCCTCGTCTTAGCCCTCCGACGTGCGTCGTATTCCTTCGGAGCGTCGGTCGTTCAGCTCTCCTTCCGTCTTTGGTCCAAGAATCCCCAAGAGTAGCAAAACTCCTCAAGGGCTCCTCCGTTTTTGTCCTCTCTCGAGCTCTTTGTCCTTCGGCCATGCGTCCTTCAGAACATTGGCCCTTGTGAGACTCCTTGGGGGCTCGCCCCCCCACCCCCTGCCGCCTCTCATTCTTCGGACTGCGGTCAGACTGAGGTCACCGACGTCGGGGCTCGCTCACGGCGCAATCGTCAGCGACCGCTCCGGCGGACTTTGACCGGAACGGCCGTCAACCGAAGTCTTGCCTTTTGACAATCTGGGCTTAGCTGGCGCAATAGTCAACGCGGCCCCCCTCGCCCCTCCTTGCGCAGGGAACAGCGGCATGGGCTGCTACCACGGCAAGCACACCTTCGACCGGCTGAGTCACCTGCGAGCATGCCTCATCAAGACGCTGAAGATGGAGGGCATGAACAACATGCGCTACCCTCCGCACACGGCCGGCAAGCTGGGCTGGGCGCGCTTCTTCGTGCTCAAGAACTTGAACTTGGGCTGGATCGGGCGCCTGCTGCTGCTCGCCGCCGTCGCCGTGCTGGCCGCCGTCGTCATCCAGGTGAGAAGGAAAGGTGACGCGCCGCGACCCTCTTCCCCGGCCGGGATTGGGCGAGCAGCGCAACGGCAATGTGCTTGTTGAAGCTTGATGCCAGTGTTGAGAGAGAGAGAGAGTGCGCGCAAAGGCTTGACGCTTGACCTTTGCTGTTTTGCAGAAGTACCAGCTGCTGCGCCAGCTCGACCGCTGAAGAGCGCCCGCGGCGCGCATCCACACGGCATTTGCGCACCCGACGCAAAACGGACCGATCCGGAACATTTCACCGTCGCGATGTCATTTTGATTTGCTTTCCGACAACTCGACCCGTTGACCGTGTAAGGAAACGGAAGGACCCCCCCGGCCCCTTTTTTAAAAGACGTTTTTATGCCGGCTCGCGAGTCCGTCGCATTTCACGACCGAGCGTCGCTTTCTTCTTTGTCCTCCTCTATTTCAGAATCACCTCATGCATGCGCGCAACCCGCACGGGTAGGCTTTGCGTTTGCATCGTCAATGACAAATTAGCGATTCATCTGCATATTCATCGATTTCAGGATGACCGTTGGAATAAACGCATTCCCCCCCTGGCTCCGAGCTGCTTTGTTCGCGTCGGCGTCCGGTCGGGAGGAGGCCGACCGAGGCCTCGGCCGCAAGATCTCACAAGCGGTGGCGTGTCGGCGCGCCGAAGCCCCCGATCCGGTCCCTCTCCCCGTCGCTCCTTGTTTTTCGTCCGGCCGTGCCGGTTGCATTTCATGGCACCGGGTCGTGACATGACAACGACAATGAAAAAGCTCCTCCTTCGCCCCACGAGTCAGCACTCACACGTTCGAAGCAGACAAAGACAGCAGTGTACTCACCGAGCCGGCGGAGGCGAGACGGCAAGACCCGCCCGGCTCCGCCCACAAGGGCAGCGGGCAGCACCTGAAAAGCGACGGCGTGAGAAGAGTCGCCGTCACCCGGTGCCTGCGTCGGAGTCCGTCATGAACCTTCTCCCGTGGGCCTTGCTCGCTTTCGCTCCTCTCTTCTCGCCATGCGCAGGTAAGGACGCCTTTGACCGGACGAGCCTCGTTTTGCATTTCAAGCGTCCACGTGCCGCGGCACCAGCGGGCCTGGCGGACGCTTTGGCTTCGTCCACGCCTCTTTCCCGTTGAGACGGGAGGGCGGGCGTGCGATTCGGGTGACGGCCAAAGAGCGCCGCCGTACGCGCGTGTCCCAATACTTGTGAGCATTCAAAGACCTTTCAAAAGGACCAAAATGGGAGAACAAATATTTCCTCTCTGCAGTATGACCGACGGCCGTGGATGTTGGTAGCGGGAGGAGAACGAACACACACACACACACACAATAGGTGCCCTGTCCTGGTGTGCGTGAGTTCAGTCCCACAGGTGTGCGCGTGAGGGAATCAAGAATTGAACAATGAGCATTCATTCAGCTGTGAAAAGATGCAAGCAGGATGAGAAATGGAGGGGGAGGAGACGTACAGGGGACAAAACGAGGACAAGAAGAGTGAAGCCAGCCGCATTTCCGCAAAGACGGACGAGGGGTCACGCTTTGGTCTGGGGAACGACTCCCAACTTTTATCCCCCGCTTTTTTGGAAACCGAGCAATCCATCGACAAGCCGAGAGTCACGCGTTGTCGCCGGCGCCGCTTCAATCAATTGTAGCCCTCCCGGGGGCATACATCTCAGCCCACTGAAATAGTCGTCCGAAAGATCAAGATGGGGTGTGTGTGTGTGTGTGCAGGCGGCTGGTGTTACGAGAACCAGGCCTCCTGCGACGCCGCGTGCCGAGGTAAGATCACGTGATGTCCCGCGACGCAGTGGCTTTTTTTGCGCTGCCTGCCTGACACTCGATTGGGTCCACCTCCGATTCAGAAGTCAACATCGATCATTGCGAGGGCTCAGACTTCAACTTGGAAGGAAACGGCGCTCTTTTTGATGACGGGGGAAGCGAGAGTTCAGGAGTGAAACATTTGGGGGCGACATAAGACTCCGGGGTCATTTGCGCGCACACGAGCGGAGAAACGTCTCTCGCTAATGCCAATTGGGGAAATGCAATGAAATGCAACGACGGTTGGCATGAAAAATAACAATCATATGTTACCGTCTCCGATTTGGGACCTAAAATGGATTCACGAATCCCGCGCTCCGTCTTATCGGGGCGCAGGATGAGCGCTCCTTTTCTCGATCCCGAGCCATTTTCGACGGCGACAACGGACGCGATGAGCGGGCGAACCCAATCGAGCGTCCCCGCGCCGCGAGCGAGACTGAACCGCCCCGCCGGGGGTTTTTGGCCGCAGACCCGAGCGGGTGGTCTTCGGCCTTCCCTCGCTGCGGCGGACTGCGCCAGTCGCCCATCAACATCGTCAGCGGCAAAGTTCACGTCAACACGGCGCTGCCCCCGCTGGAGTTCATCGGTCACGGCGACCGCATCAACATCACCGTGGAGAACAAGGGACATTCGGGTAAGGACGTTTTTGAGCGCCGCTTCGCCCGCCGCCCTCCCCGCGAAATGATCAAAGAAAGAAATCAAAGTCCGCTTCGGAGTGACCCGAGAGGATTCCATTCATCGTTTTGGAAGTGACTGGGGACAAGGCGAGCGCACTTACTTGCCAGGACTCAAATAGCAAATAATTTTTTTCTTTGCTCAGCTCACTTCCACCTGCCCCAGTCGGTGCGTCTGACCGGAGGCGCTCTGCCGGGTCACTACCGGGCCGCCCAGTTCCACTTCCACTGGGGGGCCAGCGGAAGGCCCGGATCGGAACACACCGTCGATGGAGAGAGATTCCCCATGGAGGTGGCGAGCGCACCCGCGACACGCAGCCGTTCGCTCGCTCGACCGTTCGCGACGTCGACCCGCATCGCCTCTCGACCGCCTCCCACAAAATAGCTAGCCGACAGCTTTGACCTTTGAAACAAAATACCGAGCCACGTTCGACCCCCACATCTGCCGACCTTTTGACCTTTCGAGCCACCTCCCTCCGGCACTCGCGCGCCCGGTTCCCAGCTTTGCTCCGCCGCTCGCTCATCTTTGTACCGCGCCCGCAGCTTCACGTGGTGCACATCAAGGAGCCGTACGGATCCCTGAGCGAGGCGGAACACGACATGGCGGGAATCGCCCTGCTGGCCTTTCTGTTTGAGGTAGCGCGAGCGAGCGCCGCGACGTCTCGACGGGCACGTTGGCGCGCGGCTGACCGGCGGTTCTGCCGACAGGAAGCCGCCGAGGACCACCCGCACCTGGACGCCGTCATAGCGGCTCTGGGACGAGTGCGGCACAACGGTAGGGACCCGCGCGCCGGCGCCTCCCGCCCGTCCGGCGCGCGCCAACCTCCGCTCGCGTCCCAAGCAGGCTCCACGGCGCTCATGTCCGACTTCAAGCTGAGCGACATCGTCCCGCCGTCGGGGGAGCTGCGGGGCTACTACCGCTACGTGGGCTCCATGACGACGCCGGGATGCGAACAGGCGGTGGCGTGGACCGTCTTCCTCAAGACGCTGCCCGTCAGCGGTCGGCAGGTAGGCGGGCCGGACGCGGGCGGGGCGGGGGCGGGACGCGCGGTGACCGCGTACGTGTGCTCCTCGGCAGCTGGACGCCGTCGCGCAGCAGTGCCGCTTCTGGACGGGCCAGCCCATGACGGACATCTTCAGGCCCACGCAGCCGCTGGACGGACGCGTGGTGTACCGCTCCAACTCGGCCGGCGCCGTCGCGCCCGCGCGCTCCGCCGCCTTCTGGCTCGGCCTCGCCGCGCTCATCCGTTGAATCGGCCAACACGCGGGCACGGGGGCAGCTTGACTGGCGCGGCTTCATCGGCGGCGTCGTCTCCAAACTCGAGCGACGCGCACGCGCTTGCTCCCGAGTCCAAATTTAGCGCGCGACACAAAAAAGGCCCGAAACGGAGCTCGCCGCATCCAAAAGACCCAAGCGGGGGAGCCTCAATCGCGGGGACCGCCGCCGTGCGGACAAACCGACATTCGCATCAAATAAGTTGGAACATTGCGGCAATCAAACCCGCGTAGCTCAACGAGCCAAAATTCGCACGGGCCACGTTATCATCAAAATATTGGCTTGATTTCTTTCCATGAATTTCCCCGATCGAAATTGGAAAAGAACTTGAAGAAATGAAGGAGGAATCGGAGGATGGAGAAACCCAGAAATGCAAATGGCATTCTTGGGCAGAAGAAGGAAATTGCATTTTGAAACCGGGCGGCGATCAAGAGAAGTACGTCCACGACGGGAAATGAAAGCGTCCGACCTCCGATTCCACCATCGCGAACGATGAGCCGCCACAAAGAAGCGCGTGCAGAAGGAAACGCTGAGTGGAGGGGACGCAAGGGTGCCCAGTCAAGCCCCTCCCAAATCCCATCCGCGACTTCAAAACCACTTTGGCTTTTTCAATTCATTCCGATTTTCTGTGTGCGCGTTTCTTTCGATGCGCCTGCGTGTCGCGCGCTTGGAATAGACACGTTAGTCTCAATAAATCGATTGCTTGGCTTGGATTTATTTCACCGATTGATTGACGGCTGGATGAAAAGTGCAAAGCGTTCGCCGGCACGTCCGCTTTGCTTGAGTCAAGGCGATTGCGGAGGCGCGAGGCTTACTTTTGTCATCCAGGCGCGCAGGAGTCGTACCTGAGCGCGCACGCTGCTCTCGGCCGTGCCGCCGGCGGCGGCGTACTGCTCCACGCTGGACGCGTAGTTCCACACCGACGCCACGTCACCTGCCAACAGCGGGCTGAGCGCACGCACGCACGCCCAGAATGATCAGCATGGCCACGCGCGCACGCGAGCGAGCCCGCGAGCCGCCCCGTCACCTGATGGCGCTCAGGTCCTGGGCCGTCAACTGGTCCAGTGGCACCTTTTTGGACTCGGCCGCCAACACCGCTTTGCCCGCCAGAGCGTGAGCCTCCCTGAACGCCACCTGGAGGCACAAGACGCAAAGCGCGCCCGCTTGGATGACGCCCGCCAGCCGCCGCGCCACATTCGGCGACATCGGACTTTTGCGAGCATCCGCCCGCCGCATTCAGGCCATCACTCTACTCGAGTGTGTTTTTCAGGGATGGGCACTTGAGCCCCCCGCTGCTTGGCAATCAAGATTTGTTTTGGGGGGGGCCGCTCGACTCGGCCGGGCACGGTAAGCGGCACCCACACACAAACGCTCTCCCAAGCGAGGCTCGGGGGCGAGCCGTTTATCGCCGCTCTCGGCCGCTTTGTTCCATTTCCTGCTCTCGGGTGACGAAGGCAGGAAATGAGTCGGACATTTGAGGCCCGTCGGTGGCGGGCGGTGACGGCGCATTAGGCGTGGCGCGTACGGCTTGCGCTCACCCCCTTCCTCACGAGGTAGTAGGCCAGATCGGTGGCCAGCATGTCAGGACTGAGCGCCGCCCCCATGGCGCCGGCGTCGATCTGAAACATCAAAGCCCAAAGGACCCGTGAGCGCCCCGCCCGCGGCCCGGCGCTCGGCCGAGGCGTCTCGCCGTGCGCTCGCCTTCAGCGTGGAGACGACACCGGCGGCGACCCGCAGGACGGCCAGGATGGAGTCGTAGCCGTCGAACATGGCTTCCTTGTCCTCCTGCGGGAGCGACGCCACAGTCAATATGGCTTCCGTCTCCCATTGGTTCACTTTCTCCTTTGGCTTTTGCCAATTTGCGCGCGATTCATGTCCCGACGATACAAGGTAGACGGAAAGGGACGCACTACAACGGGGCCCGGATGAAGCGGGCTTGCGTACACGCGTGTTTCCAAACTTTTCTGTCTCTCTAAATAAAAGAAAGAGAAGTGGTCCTAAATTGAACCCCTGCGGGACGCCCTTTTCTGAGGTGATGGGGTCATTGACAACATCAGCGACCTCAACAGTCAGTGCGAGACCTACAAGGTCATCTTTAATACATTTTAAAAAAAAGGAGCCTACTAAACATCTCCACATTCCGAAGCAAAAGAAAAGCAATCCAACCCGACTCTCAAGTGGCATCATTTGCCGGGCGGACCGAATGACCGCTCTTCACCGAGGGGTCCAAATCATTTCCTGAGCGTTTTGGCGCAAAAGGAGCAAGCGAGAGATGGGAAGGAACGGGGTACCTGCAGGTCTTTGTTGTAGGAGCTGGGAAGGCCTTTCAGCGTCATCATGAAGCCGGCGCACTGAAAAAGAAACCCAAAGGACGATTGGTCTGGCCTCTCCGCCCCGTCGTCGAATGAACGAGCCGCAGGACGAGCCGGACCGCGCCGCCGATCTTACGCGGCCAAAGATGCGTCCCGCCTTGCTCCGGATCAGCTCCAGGCTGTCGGCGTTCTTCTTCTGCGGCATCAGGCTGCTGCCCGTGCTGCGCGGCGCAAAGGAGACGTCTGCTTATTTCGGGCCAAAAAAGACAAGGTCGCACTTTTGATGAGGAAGCGCACCACGTATCGGCGCCGCAATACTGACTTCCAGTCACCCGGCAGAAAATGAGAAGAGAGATCTCAATTTTTTTCAGACCGCAGAAGGCAGTCAGCCCCTTTCCCCCGATCATGCTCAGAAGAACTGGGAAGAGGTCGGAGGAGCCATTGTTGCGGCCGCTCTCCTCCCGAGGCCTTCTGCGGATTCCATTTTGGGGTTTTTGGGATCACGAACGGGCCCGATCACTCATGACTCACGACACGACCGGAAACGATCCTTTGGGGAGCAACCGAGGGAAACGCAATCGTTTCCCTCCGGAATGGCCGCATTCGAAGCTGACCTGTAGGCGTCGGCGAGCGTGACGAAGGAGAACTCTTTGGTGCTGTACAGCAGAAGGTCCTCGGCCATCTTGCTGAGATGAGTGGCGCACAGCGAGGCCCAGAACAGGAACTCCGCTGACACGGGCGCACGCAAAATCCATCAGCGGCTCGGGGGGGGGGACGGCCGACGAGGGGCCGACGGACTTACCCACAAAGTCTCGCTGGCCGGTGGCGTCCATGCTGTTCAAGCTGATCTCATCGAAACGCAACTCTGTCAACGACACGGAAAAAGTTTCGGCCGCCTTCGTTGCCGAGTCGCGAGATTTACAAGAGCGGGTCGCCGGCGCGGGGCCGCGACGGGGGTCCGAGACTCGCGGCCGCCTCCGACCGCGTTCCCCTCTCGGCGACGGCGGCGGTGCGGGGGATTGGAGACGCGGCGGTTGCGCCCGACGCCAGCGACGCCGGTCACGTTAACGCCGACGTTCGCACCTTTCCTCAGGAGCTCCCTGTCGATGGCGAAGGGCGTTCCGGCGATGGCGCCGCTGAAAACAACAGGAAGGCCACCGGTTAACGCCGGACGCTTCCGCGGGACCTGATCATCGTTTGCCCCGCTTGCAAATGTTGAGATGGAAAAAAGGTGGCGTCGACGCCGTGGCAACCGAGACTTGGGTCGACGCCGCGCGCCCTGTCGTCAAGTCCGTCAGAAGTAGCGAAAATCGCACCGGTCGAATGCCGATCTCGCCGCCTGGCGTGCGTCCATGTGGAGCGGGGCTCTCCAAACCACGGCCCGGGGGCCATTTTTCAGCGGCCCGTGACCAGCTTCAAAACGAATACGAATAAGCGGTGCCCCGAACCACTCCTTCTGCTCGTAAGCTTGAACGCAAAGGTGTCGCCTCTCCTCTTACTTGCAAACGAACTCGGTGAAATTGCCGGCTTGAATGACTCGAGCGCCTTTCCTCAGTGAAAGCCGCAGAATTTTCCGCGTCCTTCCAATTTCCTGCGCGCGGCCCTCCTACAAACCGCTTTGGACAGCCCGGATGCGGACGCTTGACAAGATGTCAACGTCATCTGGCCAGAGGCTTCCCGATCGCTGGCGCCGGCCCGCGGAACTTCCCTTCACGCCGTCGGCAACGGGACCGCTTCTCGCCTCAAGCTGGGCCGGCACATTTGCGTCATCGGAATCGGCCAAGTTGCATCGCGCCAAACGAGACGGAAGCCGTCGGCACACGTCAATACGCTTCATGGGATGTCTTTTAGCGTTCGAGTCTTTGGTGGCGGTCACGTTAGCGGCGAAACGTCGATTCCTTTTTTTTTTTTGGGCGGGGGTTTGTATCGCAGTGACTTACCTGCCCAGAGGCAAGACGTTGACGCGCTTGCCGATCTCCTGCAGCCGCTCCACGTCCCGCCGCAGAGCCACGGCGTGACTTCCCGTCGGCGCGAGAGGTCCGGAGAGATGACGGCGGCGGCGGCGGCGCGAGATGAACACGGGACCCCGTTAGACGAGGCTCCCTTTCTTGTCGCCTGCGTTTGCGCTCACCTCAGGATCCAGTGGCTCCACCTGATGGGCTGAGCTCGCTGCATGTGGGTGTAACCGGGGAACAGGACGTCCATCTCCCTGAGCAGAGGAACGACCACTTAGGCCACCACGACCTTCTGCCGCCCCCGGGTGGCCGGGGCGCGCACGCCCAAAAGAGCGGCACCGGGCGCCGGGGACATGACGCCGATACCGTCCGCCGTGAGACGCCGCGTCATTCGAGACAACTGCTCTGAGGGTTCCGAAAACAGGGCGAGCGTCTGTGCTTTGGCTCGGGAGGCTGGAACAGATTCTGGGGGGAATTCCGAGTGACGGATGACGTCACGGAGTCAATTCAATTTTGATCTCGCGGCGCCAGTCGCCAGATAGTGCCAATAATTGATGCTCATCAGAACTGCCGCGAGGTCAATGATTTGAATTTGGGGGGGAAACACAAGGGAACAGCTTCAAACAGAAAACACATCCGTGACTTTGCAACTTGGGGCGGAACCTCGGGTCTCCACGACGTCCTTCACTCAGAGAGGAAGTAAGCGGAGCCCACGATTCACACCCCTCATGACAACACGGGGATCTGGAGCGGACTTTTCCGGGAAGGACGCGGTCGGCGGCGGCAAAGCGTTTGTCCAAAGCCATGCGACGCCGCGCGGCATCTTACGCTGCGGCGCGCTCCACCAAGGCCGAGATGAGGAGGAGGGCCTCGTCCTTCAGCGTGGCGATGGCGTCGCGCAGCCACAGACGCATGTCGGTCACCACCTGTGCGGCAAACGCGCGTCAACGTCGCCCGCGGCCAAGTCGCGCTCCCCCTGCGGGCGCGGCGCCCCCACCTGGTCGTTCCTGCTCCTGCCCGTGTGCAGCTTCCCCGCGGCCGGGCCGATCAACTCCTGCGCACGCACATCATCATCGTCCTCATCATCACCGCGGCGACTTCATCGGGTACAACAATTCATTCTCCTCATGAGCTTTTCTAAAACAGACTGAAGAAACGCACCTCCAAAAGTTTTGTTCCTGAGTAGATTGTCCCAAAAATTTAATAAAAAAAAAAAAGGTTGGATCTCGAATGCCTGCCGATGTGGCCTGATCAAGACACGGCTATTGTATGATGATATTCGCTAAATGGACGTAGGAGTGATCGAGTCACGTCAAATGCTGAGATGATCGAGGAACTCCGTTTGTCGGGCATCGCATTCCGAATCCACAAACAAAAACGAGGCCGACTCAGATTGCGGTCGAAGGCCCAGAGTCAGCGCAGGTAAGATTCGTCTGCCCTGTCGTGGCGAATGGTGACAGCGCCACTTCAAACGACACAAATCGTCCCGGCTTGCCATACTTGCGGACGGGAATTTTCGCCATTCCCCCTCCCCAATGTTTTCATTCGCATTTTTTCCGGGATTTTACCCCAGGCCGTTTTCTCTGGGAAACAGATATGAAATATTGATCACAGATGGTTTGTTTTTGCTGTTTTGGAACAAATGGCGGCGGTCCGCTTGCCATTTGGCGAGAGCCCATCGCCGACGGCTGACCTTGAGTCTGCGCTCGTTGGCGGCGTGGATGTCTTCGTCGCCGTCTTTGAGCACAAAGGCGCCTTGGCTCCACTCCTCGCTGATCTGCAAACACAGCGGCGGCATCGTCATCACACTCATCGCCCCGATGGCAATGGCGTTTTCAGGCGTTTGTCTCGCACTTGGCAGCTTGCGGGTCCCAAGCTCGGCTCTGGCCTCCCCGTGTGAGGCGGGCCCGCTTAAACGCCTTTTCTTCCCCCCATCCAAATTTCACCGAACGCCAACAAGCTGCACACTGGTAGGAATGTGCGTTCGTCCCTCCACTCTGTGCTCTGAGGCCACCGTTGGTCTCCAGGCGCCCCCGCGGGCCCTGAGCTTCAGGGGTCGTCTGGTCTCGATGACCCGATTGGAGGAAGTGTAGGAGAGAAAATGGACGGCGAATGTTGTGGCTCACGTCGGTGAGTGTGTTTGTTCCCTGGAGGCCCCGCGACCTTTCGCTTGCGCCTGAATGCGCGAGTAGCAGCCTTTGGTTTCTCTCGTTTGGCACAATGCGCAGGAATGTGCTGCCACCGCAGCCATTCAATTCCAGCGGACCGCGTCAGCATGCGCGCGTGCGTGTACCTGGTCCAACCCTCGCAGGATGCCATCCATCTCGTCGGCGCTGAGCAGCTCGGCCCGACGCAGAGCCTTGGCGTAGGCTTTGCTGCCCCTCAGGTCAGCGTCCCACATCCTCTGGTCGTACGCCACAGACGCGTTGAAGCGCTCCATCACCGGGTCGGTGGCGCCCGTAAAGCGACCCCCCCACAGCTTGGCCCCCTCACAAACACACACAATGCAAAAAAAGGATGGATCGTTACACTTCAGTCATGTTTGACTGCTAAATCCTGTTTTTAGGATGCGTTGTTGAATTAACAGTTGCCCCATTTCAAAGTGACACATTTGGCAGGGTTCTTTTTATTTGCGCCGTTACGACTAGAATCACCCTTGCATTTCCACAAACGCAACATGAATCCGAATGCAGTGTTTCGACTCGTGAAAGCGCACAGGACTTTTTATTGGAAAGAACATTTGGGGCTTGACTCCGTAGATCATTTACTTGTGTACTTTTGACCAAGTTGGTCAACCAAGTTGATTCGGATTCCTCGTGTGAACGTGAAAAATGATAACAATGACATTACAGAGTGCAGCCACGCATCGACGACGGTCAACGTACTCACAAAACGAGGTCCACCTGCTGTGGTCAAAAAACCCAAAGAGTTACAGGAAACCTTGGGCCTTCACGTGGAAAGCGACAACGTTCGAAGAGTTCCTTACCTCGGCTGCCATCTGGAGGGAGCGACGTGGTTTCTTGTTCTTGGTGTTGACAGAAGAAGCTACGAAATGAGCCGCGGCGTGACTGGTTCGACTCGTTTAAAAGTGGCAAACGAATAAAAAGTCCAAACGTGTGTGGAGGGGCGGGGAAAAAAAAAAAACAATTCCGTCTTTCTCGACTGCCGACAGCTGCTGTGAAACTCCGACAACACGTTTGTTTTATTGGTGACTCGTTCGCGTGTTGCTCGTTTTGAAAATGAAGCTAGCTGAAGTTCTCGTTAAAAGAAAAGGTCTTCGGTCACCGAATTTAAGGAAGGCGTTCGAGCAGATACAAAATTGTCTGTACTGTACTAGAAATCCGTGAGCCACCAAAGTGACGTAGTCGTTAGTCTACCTGCAGCCTGCTGGCACCACCTGCTGGCCTGGTGGGCGAAATGCATCTTGACAGATCGTCACTCAAAAAAAAACCGCGAGAAAATAAATACATTCACTTATTTCCTGTAGTAGAAAATAGAACTAGAGTTTTTTGTGAAACCAAGTTTTATTTTAGATTATTTGGTTGTGTTCCCAACGCGGGTTGTTTCGGTACCGCGGAACCAAGAAACGTCCGAGGTCTTGTTTCTCACGGATTCTTTTGCGCCTGCCAACATGGAAGTGTAAGTCCTATTACTACGCCGAGAATATTTCTTACGTGGCTTTTGGCCACTTTCCTTCTTAAATGAGTACTGGCCACATTTCGTTTATTCATGAGCGTCAATGTTGAAGATTGAAGCTTATATTGCTTCACTTTACCCTTTCGATCGATCGACTGACATAAAAATGACCAAACGTTTTATATTGTAACGTACTTTCTTTTTATGTAGTGTGATGCTTCCTTAAAACTGTTTCAACATCACTGAAACCAGATTAAAAGAAAAAACACCCGGCTCAGTTTGGTACATTATGGACGTAAATATACAAACTCAACCTGTTCCAGCTTTTTGGGAACCCGTTGCAGCCACAACATTCAAAGTTCATGATTATTTGCTCAAAGCAATCCTGTTGATCAGTTTTAAGATGAAATGTCTTCTCTTTGTAGTGTCTTGCATCCAATATAGGTTGAACAGGATTTGCAAATCATCGTATTCTGCTTTTATTGAGGTTTAACACAACGGCAGCCGACTTCATTGGAATCGTTTTTGTACTGTACTTCCATGAGTGACCTTTGGACGTTTTCTTCTTAGGAAAAACGCAAACGCAGCCATGCTCAGCAACTATGAGGTGAGGCGATATGCTCAATTGGGCTTTTCTTGACTTTTGTTCAAATGCGATCAATATGCTGTTGCTTATGTCAGTGTTCGCATGAACAAATGTCGTGGATTTGTCGACATGTGCGTACGTTAAACAGTTTGTGGAAACGATAAGTTGAAATGCGAGCACCGTATCCTTGTTTGTCAGGTGTTTCAGTTGCTGACTGACTTGAAGGAAGAGAAGAAGGACAGCGGCAAGGGCAAACACAGCACCGGGCAGCAGAATCTCAACACCATCATGTATGAGGTGAGCAGCTCGCTTCCGTCTTCACCTTCTCTCTGCGACACGCGCCTCGGGTGGCAAAAGTGCTCACGCTCTGTCCTCAAGTGGAAAAAGTAAAAATATTGGTTTTATCGTCAGTCTTGGGTAGAGTAGCTGTTTGGCTAACTGGGCGCGATGAACACAGACTTCACCGCACGCAAAGAGTAATTGTATGAGGCCTTACGACGCGACGCGCGTGTCCCGCTGCAACCCAGACGCTCAAGTACTTGTCCAAGACGCCGTGCGGCCGCCAGAGTCCCGAGATGGTCGACGCCTTCCTGTTGGCCATGATGCGGCACAAACTCACAAAGTCAGTCCCGCCCCCTCCTTCGATTTGTCCGCACGCAAAAGATGAGACGCGCTTCTGTTGACGCGACCGGGGTGCCTTTTCGCCTGTCACCAGGGCTGAGAAGCTGCAGCTGCTCAACCACCGACCGCAGACCGCCGTGGAGATGCAGCTGGTGAGTCTTTTGGCCGTCGTCGGGAGATTCTCCTCCACTGAAGGTCATACGCAAAACTCCCCCCACCCCCAAAACAAAAAGTCCACGCCATCGACATTCAACACGAACAATCCTTCACTGCCGTTGACGTTTTTTCAACAAGGGGAGTCCCCCCCCCCCCATGCTGCTCCGTTGTCAGCAAACAACATGACTGATGCAAAGCCACCAGTCCAATGGCATCCTTGCCCATTTTCGACACGAGGTCAGCTCAGTTTGGGAGTATCAAAGAACAAAAAAAGTCAGATTCAAGCTTCCATTTTGTTTTTCCGGTGAGCGGAGAATCTCTCCTTTCATTTGGTCGATTTGCTGCATCTTTGAACACAATGCCTGTCAAACGAGATCAATGACCACACGAAAAGAGAAGAATTTGCAGGGCTCTGTGGCCAACCCGGAGGCGCTCATCTTGGATGTCTAACGAAAGCAAACTTGACGATATGTGCCATGCTAACTGTGTGTGTGTGTGTGTGTGTGTGTGTGTGTGTGTGTGTGTGCGCGCATGTTTGCACCGCAGATGGTGGAGGAGAGCGAGGAGCGTCTGTCCGAGGAGCAGATCGAGGAGCTCATTCTGACCATCTCAGAGGTTCTTCCCGGGGATCCGGAGCAGGAAGAGGCGACGAGCGGCGATGGGGGGGCGGCCTGAGCGCCGCCGCGTCAACTGGGTGGGAGCACTTGTCGAGCCGGCGGC